AAAAAAACATAGGCAAAAATCTCATGGACATAAACATGAGTGACTTCTTCATGAACATATCTCCCCAGGCAAGGGAAACAAAGGCAAAAATGAACAAGTGGGACTATATCAAGCTAAAAAGCTTCTGTACAGCAAAGGACACCATCAATAGAACAAAAAGGTATCCTACAGTATGGGAGAACATATTCATAAATGACAGATCTGATAAAGGATTGACATCCAAAATATATAAAGAGCTCACATGCCTCAACAAACAGAAAGCAAATAATTCAATTAAAAAATGGGCAGAGGAGCTGAATAGACAGTTCTCTAAAGAAGAAATCCAGGTGGCCAACAGGCACATGAAAAGATGCTCCACATCGCTTGTCATCAGAGAAATGCAAATTAAAACCACAATGAGTTATCACCTCACACCAGTAAGGATGGCCATCATAGAAAAGACAAACAACAACAAATGTTGGCAAGGTTGTGGAGAAAGGGGAACCCTCCTACACTGCTGGTGGGAATGTAGACTAGTCCAACCATTGTGGAAAGCAGTATGGAGGTTCCTCAGAATGCTCAAAATAGAAATACCATTTGACCCAGGAATTCCACTTCTATGAATTTACCCTAAGAGTGCAGCAGCCCAGTTTGAAAAAGACACATGCACCCCTATGTTTATTGCAGCACTATTTACAATAGCCAAGATATGGAAGCAACCTAAGTGTCCATCAGTAGATGAATGGATAAAGAAGAGGTGGTACATATACACAATGGAATATTACTCAGCCATAAGAAAAAAACAGATCCTACCATTTGCAACAACATGGAAGAAGCTAGAGGGTATTATGCTCAGTGAAATAAGCCAAGCGGAGAAGGACACGTACCAAATGATTTCACTCATATGTGGAGTATAAGAACAAAGGAAAACTGAAGGAACAAAACAACAGCAGAATCGCAGAACCGAAGAATGGACTAATAGTTACCAAAGGGAAAGGGACTGGAGACGATGGGTGGGAAGGGAGGGGTAAGGGAGGGGAAAAAGAAAGAGGGCATTACAATTAGCATGTATAGTGGATGGGGGGCATGGGGAGGGCTGCGCAACACAGAGAAGACAAATAGTGATTTTACAGCATCTTACTACGCAGATGGACAGTGACTGTGAAGGGGTATGTGGGGGGGACTTGGTGAAGGGGGGAACTTAGTAAACATAATGTTCTTTCTGTAATTGTAGATTAATACCAAAATAAATTAAAAAAATTCTTCAAGATGTAAAAAAAAAAGCTTCCCTGGTCATTTGTGAATTTGTGATAACCAATATTTGGAATAGTATTGATGTACTTGTGTGTTATGTAAGTTACTGACAAAATGGCCAGGTTGAATAGGGAGATAAGAACCTATATAAACATAATCAGAGAATCCATAGATATTTAATCCATAATCAGAGAATTCATAAGATACACAATCCAATCTTGATTGGTATCTTAAGTATATAGATACTTTTCCTTTGGCCCAGCAAGAGCATTGGAGCAAAATGGTGATTAGATATTAGAGTACAATGTTGAAAAGTGTTAGTTGGAACCCAAACTCCATAAAAAATATTTTCCGATCTGTATAATTTTAATTTACCCATAAAAACCTAGGTGATAAAGAAATTATCTTCCTATACTCCTCTTCATCTTTAATGTTATTTTGTACTCCTTGAAGTAAACTTGAAAGTGATGATTATTGCAGTGGTGATAGTTATCATAGTAACTAAAGTAGAATAGCAAATACACTACCTATATAAGCGAATGAAAAAAATACCTTGAACTACAATGTCTGAACACTCAATGAATCCGTGGACCAAAATATGTGTGGATATGGTGGCTTTCATCAGAAACTTTATTAAAGCAGCTTAATTCCCAGTCCCTGGTGTTCTGGGAGTTAAATAGATTCTAATTGATATTTTATGAACAAAACCACCAGAGATTTCTACTTGAGGATTCAGTCTGTTTGTATTCCTACATGAGCATACAGCCTTTACTAATCTATAGCAAAGAAAAAAAAAACAAAAAAAACCTTCAAGTTGTTTCCCTAATATTTAACATTCATTCCTATGGTTTAAAAATGGTTTCTCTGTTTTAAGTTAAATGTCAAAGCAATGAAACCATTAGTTCAGTTGGTAATAGTCCATATTTCTCAGAGATAGCTTTCATTTTAATCAGCAACCGGAAGATTTTTCAGTGTCATCCTCATTGGTTCTCATGAGGGATGTATACGTATTAAACTCTTCTTTGTTTATCTTTGTGTACCTGAATCAGATTCCCAAAAGCAAAACTGTTCATCTTACCATTAAAAATATAAGTGGTCTCACTTCACAGTTATGCTGTACAAGAAAGAGAGGCTACAATGGCATTGTGTTCTGCATGGTGTTTTCTAGATTTTACTAGTTCACCAGCTTTTGTACAGAAGTCAGATCCTTGAATGTTTCTTACATATAGTCTTTACTATGGTTGATTACACTATGAATACAAAAGAGGTATCTGCAAAATGCAGAAATAATCTTGAGAGATGGACAAAAACCTTAGAATATTAGTGGTGACTATGCAAGTCATCTATGAAACTGTTTTCTCATAGGTGGTATTAATTTCCTGTCCACAGAGTCTTATTAGTGAATGTGTTATGTTTGTACCCCAAAGAAAATGAACTAATCATTTTCTTTCTCTTTTTCTAGCAGTCTATTAAAATGTCAAAGTTTATCTTGACTGCTGCTTTTTCATGTAAATGTTTGGGCTTCATTGAATTCTTAATATGTGATGTCACTTGGAATTCTGATAAGGTCCATGAGTTTTGCCTATAAGGATATACTTCTCTTTAAAATGAAAAGTGTAACAAAAATATTATTTTACATAGTGACAGAAAAGTGGTCAATGTCAGTTACTGTGAGATTTTTATTGTAAGATCTTTAAAGTATACGGACTAAGCTCGTATGTACTTGCTCTCCTTCAAAGTACCTACTGGAATGTTTTGTATGTAAAGATATCCTGTAACTATTTGCTATCAGTTAGTTGTTGTTGTTGGAAATTCTAGAATTATAAAAATACAATTTATGTTTAATGACAAAATTTTATAAAAATAGAATTCATGTTGAATGAACATCTTTTCTTTGAAAACAGTGAGAACAAAAATAATTTTTATTTTACACTGACCTAGTGTTTAGCAAATAATAGGCTTTCCTTGCCATACCAAATTGCAAGAATGTGTCATATCCAAATCTCTGGGGCTTTATTAAAAACTTGAACTACTTTCTGCTTATAGAGCTTATTTAAAAAATGCTAAAGATAGTTCAGGTGTGTCATCTAAGCTGTATCATTCTGGCAAGTAGACCTAAGTGCAAAATTAAAGCTGTATGACATTAACCTGACAGTAAGTCATTTTATTCTGGCTTGACTCCTCTGTGAACAGCTTTATGCTGTGATCTCATTTGCTATAGCAAATGAAATATTAATAGATTATTGAAAATGCAATAAAGTTTTGGTCAGACGTTATGCCCTCATTGTATATCAAACTCCACCCCCACCCCTAGAGTAGTTTACTTATATTTAGAATGAAATTTTGGCTCCATTGGTCCAAATCAAACATCTTCAAGAACATGACGATATAAAGATATTTCTTACAGGATTCTCCAATTCCTATTTTTCTGATCATAAAACATATCTGACCATGGTATTTAAAGAAGCATTGGAGAAATTAATATGTTTATATGAGCTCAAAATTAAGATTTATCAATATAAAATATATTTGGAAAAAGTTTATCAATTTTGTCAAATGATAAAGTATATAAATTTTACTTATAAATAATTGGTTTTTTATCAATTGATAGCAAGATTTTTATCAACTTGGGCATGTATTTTAGCTAAGGAACACCCAACAATAGAGATTTAAGTAAATAGTTCTAAAAGTAGATTGTTCTTGTCACTGGTTCAGCTCTACCAAATACCATTGAGGCCCTTTGTGATGCACACAATTTTTCTCAAATGGCTGCAAGATGATTGCTGAAGTTTTAGACCTAATGGTTAGCAGAAAGAAAGATAAGGGTGACAGCTGTGTTAAAAAATACTAACGTTTCCTAGGAACCCTCACAGGAATCCCCTGGCAGTTTTCTATTTGCATCTTTTTGAGCAACTGTGTGTCACCTTACTAGTCCTAGTTGAGGGAAGGAAGGCAAAGGAGAAGGTCATTATGTGTAGGGACTAGGTCTGCCATATACTCTAATTTCCAATTTATTTACCAAGTCATATGAACTTGGACTTATTTTTACTTACCAAACCAAAATTTTCTATTGAATTTCCTGATTTGTCACAACTAATAATAGTTTCTTCTCATCTCTGAAACAAAGTGAGAGACCACTGGACTTCTGTTATGTGTTATCCTCTCAAAACTTACACAGTTTTGATTGGTTCTCAAAACATATTAAACAATAGTAGCATATATAAGTATATATATATATATATAGATAGATAGACATAAGTATATATGAGTATATATACATATATTAGTATATATTTTCTTTTGCTGCAGCTTTTTAATTAGGATGTCATTGATGAAATAGCCCTTTTCTGACCAATCTGGAAGATTAATTGAAAAGTACATGAGGCTGATAGTAGCAATGTTAAATGTTGTCTTTTCAGAAGTATTGATTATGCTGTCCATTGCAGATCCCTTCAAATTGATTGGATGCCCCCAGGGAAGCCAAATGGCATCATTCTCGGATATGATCTTTTACGGAAAACATGGCATTCATGCCCTAAAACCCAAAAGTTAATGAAGAAACACAGTGGTGTATTCTGCAAGGCTGTGAAGTGTCAAAAACCTGAAACTATCTGTGGCCACAGGTGCTATTCTCCTGAAGCTAAGGTATATCTTTTCAAACTAGTCAGTGAAATATGTTATGCTCTCTAAACACTACAGGTGAAATCATTTGCTTCTTAAACTAGTTTATCATAATCAATATTTCCACTAGTCTATCAAGAAGACCCCATGGAAATAAAAAGGATGCTTATAAAAATCCTATCATCCTCCTGAGTGTCTTAGCCTTCTGGATTTTCATAATCTTCACAGGAAATATTAGTTTATTGAAATGGTAAGGAACCTCCCAAATTTGTATTTGATTGAGTGACTTGAATTGTCTTTACTACAAATCCATTCAGCTGCAAGTGGGTGTTTGTGTACATGACACTGATGACTAACAGTGAACAAGACCTTTCATAGTTTGTCAGAAATATTTTAAAATTATGGCCATTTGCAGATTAATGTTCATATTAGTTGCAGTTTAGGAGTCAGATCAATAATACAGCCAGACAAAGGAGTTTGTAAATGGCTTTTATTGACAAACGATACAAAAAATTCCTCAGTGTGGAGGTAGGATTTCATATAATAAAATAATGCTCCTATTTGTCAACAGCATCACACATTTAATGAGTAAAACTACTACTAAATTTAAAAGATTCACTGCAAAAGAATACAGTAATTAAGAAAGTGAGTTGTTAAAGCAATATGGATCAAAGTACAAATTATGGCTGACACTGGCTAAGCAATAGTTTTAATCTAAGAAATGTCATAAAGCTAGCAGTTACTAACTATACTTCTGATACTTAGGCTCCAGAAGTGTCATTATACCTAAGTTTTATGTCATTTTAGCTCATTAAAGGTGCATTGTCTAATGAAGACACTTTCATAAAAGGAAATTAAATCTAGGATTTCTGAGAAGGGAAAATACTGGAATAAATCTGCCCATTAAAAATGGGCAAACTTTAATTTCTTAACAAAGAAAACCTTAATGCATTAAACAAAGTCTTATTTTTATTTTAAGGCCTAAGGACACACACAGATACCGCCAGGAAGGAGAATAAAGGAAATCAATTAAAATCTCAAGAGAAAAAAACTGTTTGTACATTTCAGTTTCCAGTCAACAATATATATTTCCTGAGTGAGAGGTTGGGGAGAGATAGAAAAGACACTCATGAGTCTAAGAACTTTTTGGCTAAGTCACTGCATCAGAAGGACCTGAAATACTTAATACAAGCTTCCCCATGTGATCACAGCCACGGTTCTGGTTCTCACATGAGCATCAGTTGGAGGGCTTATTAAAATACAGATCACAGGTACTCTCCCCAAAGACTGATTCAGTAGTTCTGGGGTAGGGCATAAGGAATTGGCATTTCTAACATATTCTGAAGGGGTGCCTCTGTATCTGGCTCAGGGACACACTTTGAGAATCACTAGATTACAGACTTGCTTTGGAAACCATAGAATAAGGAAAAGGCTGTATGGTTGAATATTACCTACATACTTATCAGCTCAAGTTACTGAAATTTCCATTTTTGTTTTCTGAGACAACTAACTGGAAGATTGAGTTAGAAGACTGAGAAATATTCTGCTTATCGGGAAGCCTCCCAAAAGAAATAATTGCTTGAAAATATCCCCATCAATGATCTAACCCAGAATGGGTTAGAAGAAAGACACATTTACTGTGGATGAAGAAGCCTGAGAATCACATTGACAATGAAAGGATGGAAGGGAACCAGTCCTGATGTCCCATCACTAAATAGAAGATTTTCAGAGGCTGATAAATACCAGAGAAGCCTGCTGAAGGAAAAGGCTGAATGAGCTGAAGTGTCCAACTCTATATGTGGATGGGACTTTAATAAATGCTTTAAGACCATACAGTAAAGGGCAAGATTTTAGGTCACGGTCATAAAACAAGAGGGAGGGCCGTGTTTCACCCCGAAAGCAAAAATGACCAGCAAAAATTCCAAATAGACACAGAGATTTTTTTTTTTTTTTTGCTTAACTCTTAAACATGGGGCATAATTTTTAAGTTTGTTTTTCACACAGAATATAGCATGGAAGGGAGGAAACACCCAGTTTATTCTCGGCATTTGACTAATTTTGAATCCTCATTGCTTCTAACCAAACACAGAAAAGGAAATTCTTTACAGTTGGCTTAGCAGAACTATCTAAGGAACCACAGGAGTAGATGGAATTTCAGAGCCGGATTTCTTTGCTTTTTGGAAATAAATGAAGCACTAAGCTGCCGGCCTTTTGGAATACTTAGAAATTCTATATTCTACTGCCCTTGAATTTGGTTTGCTTCAAATGTTGGCGTAGGCTGGAAGTAACAGTGAACGAAAGGGAAAAGAGAAACACCTGTTAAGTAGTGGTTGATTTTGCCTGCCACAGGAAGCATCTACGTAATTAAGGTGACTTATGCAGCAGATAGGTCTGAGGCTACATTTCAGCAGCTCTTCAGTGTTTGATTTGTTATATATACATAGTGTCAGTCTCTCAGACATCAAGTGAACATACAAATAATTATTTGATTGTTCAAGTACATAATTTCTTCCACAGCTCCTGGAGAAAATACATTATTAAGAGGGCTTTTCATAATTAATTTCCATATACATTTATTTTTTAATGTGACCTATGATATATATACAAATACATATACATATATGTATGTGTGTGTGTGTGTGTGTGTGTGTATATATATATATAT